CCAACACTTTGCCGCCTCATAGTGGCCGGAAGGTGTTCATGGGTGTCGAGCTGCGATGTACAGCGGGTGGATCCATCCTGCCAGCAGGGCCTCTCAAGTTCAGAAGGAGTACAGCCTTTCCATCGGGAAGCCCAGCTAAGGGTAAACCAATACCAGGATCTGTCACTTCTGGTATCAAACTAGTCACGTGGTGGCAAATCCTCCTCTGATCCACAAAACCGGCGATTGGCTGTGGGGGTAACCACTTAGGGCAGACGTTGCCCTCGCTGGTTTGGGGACTTCATAGAACCTTAACCAAGAGAACTCCAAAAAATGGAGATTGCACTGCAGCCCACACAACCTGTAAGGACGGGTCGTCCGCGCATCAACGTGTACTCCTCTTTCAAGAAAGAAAGACAACTAGAAAAAATCACACAAAGAAATGTACCTTGTCAATCCAATCTAACTGGAATCGAAATACAGTGCCCACACTTTGCTAGTGCATTCAAATAATCATGCTGGAACTGATGACTTCAACCGATCAACGTGTTTTTCGCCACACTTTGCTAGTGCATTCAAATAATCATGCTGGAACTGATGACTTCAACCGATCAACGTGTTTTTCGACAACTGTATAACCTCGAAGCGAATTCGATTTGCGGTAGGTATAAGGAAACGAAGGGTCCGTGTGGCTCATTGGTCGTAGGTACCCTGCAACACACACGTGGAAACGATCTTCGCACCCATGGCTCATGAAGTCTTCCATCTCTCCTGGGTCAGAAAATTGGCACCAGACTTATCTGGGAGAATAGCAGAACTGGTTCGATACATCGGTAGGCCACCGCGAGTCATTGTAAAGGCCAGATTGCATTCAATCACCTTAAAACGATGCTTAATGAGGTAAAATGCATGGCGCATCTCTCAGGGATTCATCAACGTCGAGGTCTTTACCCTCTTTTATAGCGAAACGCACTTTCATTTCTTCAAAAAAATCGCTTAACAATATAGCTACCTGCCACATATGATCCAATTTCTTCGACTAGTAGCCTAATCACAGCTGCAGATATAACGTGAACGAAATCAAAATTAGACAAAATAAGTGTTTTCGGCAAAACCATCGAGAGGTGTACCTTCACCTTAAGACTTGTTCCATGGCTATCAAGTAATACGGTTGGCCCTGTGTATGTGTATGTGTTTATATGTGTGTATGTGTATGCGTGTGTGTTGCAGGGCGCCTGCGACAAGTACGCCACACGCGTCAAAAACGACGCAAAATTAGAGCTCAAATTATGGAACCACCATCATTCGTTGGTGGAAATCCGCTTTGATGGTGATGATGATAATGATGATTTTCATGATAATGATCCATTTTTAATGCAACGCTCGCTTTTCGAGCTGCTGATAACTGCAAGAAGAAGGAAGCGCAATAAACAATTGTGAGTCAACTTAATACCAAGACAGAAACATGATTTGTAAAAAAGAGCATACTCACAGGTTGTTCATACTCACCCAAACGAGTTTTTGAAGCAAGCAATGCCATTCGTGTTTTCCTCAGTTGCTCTTGAGGTTAACACTTAGCTCGAAAATCAGCGTTCAGGGTCTTTTTCGCGTCCAGTAGCTCAGAAAGAGAGCTATGGTCATTCATTAGACAAGGCCAACGAACAGCAAAAATAAAAGATAAACAACCTAGTGGAAAACCCAAACTGTTCTTGTGCGGAGAAAAGAGAGAAAAGCTGTAGAAAAAAGCAGAAAGTACTGACAATATAAGCAACTTTAATACAAGTGAGGATATACAGACAGAAAGTCGAAAACTAAGAATGGATGGAACAACAATGATTATTATTACAGGTATGAAAATTGTAGAAGTAGAAAAGGTCACACATCTCAGTACTCAGCCGAGAAAGTTCAGCTCGAAGCGCGTCATTTTCCAGCGTCCGTTGGTCAACGTTCTCTTCAAATGCCTTTTGAAGACAATCATATTGCACCTATTATATCCATCAAATGAGTGCCTAAAAACCACGTTGTGTAAGTTAGTGGCCACGAAAATTTTAATACAATGTGGAAAAAACTTCAACATTTCTAGAATGCTGTCTCTGTTGCAAAGCAAACTGAGTGCGTGCGTTTTCCACCTTGTCGCTGGTACTTCACGATTCCACCTCTTTCCATCTAATTGTAAATGAAGATCAGCAAGTTGACCCTAAACAACCAGTCTGAAAACAACTTAAGGAAGATGCTGACGGCTAGAGAAATGTTCTTACCAGGATTATTGTAAAATACAACGCGATATGAAAACAATAAAACATTATGCTGTAGTGTATGACTGCACACCATTCAACCTTAAAGTGATAGAAACAAGAAGTAGAATGCACCGATGGTTAGGCGGTTATGGTTATGGAGACCTCAGGCTCCCAGAGAAAAACACCAAGCAAAGGATAAAACGAGACTTCTCGACTAACCACCGTACTACTCGTTAGGAATATAAAGTTTGCGCACTATGCATGAAGAGCCGCAAAGGAAACGTTCCTGGAGAGTAATTCGCAATAAAGATCAACGCAAACTTGATAGCTCAAGGCTTTTAAGAAAGTCACGTCTTTGAGATGCAAGAATATAACCACTTCACCACAGGCAGTCGCAGCCCTTGTGAATCAGACGGAGAATTGCCACAATGCGACTTTGACACCATGACGGTGGTGGATCCTGGTATGGGTTTACTCTTGGGCTAAACTTCCTAGTGCAAACGCCGGACTCCCTCTCAGCTTGGGAGACTCTGCCAGGGGGATGAATCCCTCGCTGTACATCGTAGCTCGACACCCAGGAACTTCTCCAAACCACGATGAGGCGGTAAACCGTTGGAAGGATGGCAACGAAAATTGTGTTGCAGTGGTGAACAAACCATCAAAGAGCCTGATGGTGCGTGCTCACCACCACGTCTTGTCAATTTTTTGAAATCGCCCAAATCATCAACAGCAATCAGCAGGTTTTTCACCTGCTACAGTTCGATTTTCGCCTGGATCAACTGTTGATTCTTCGTCTTCGGTTCATGAACATTCTTCTCCACTCCCCGATAGCCGGATCTTCAGCAGTGGCAGCGCTGTCTTTTCACGCAGTTTCTCCTGTCAAACGTGTCTTTAAGATCTGAAAGTGGTAAACAATAGGTCGTGAAGTCATGCAGTGCCATTCATCCACGAAATGTTTGAAAAATGAAAAACGCAATTGGACCCACCTGAATTTCATACCAAAGCTGCGCTATCGTCTAATGGCAGCTTTTGAGCCCATACGCACGAAGCTCGACGGAAAGCGACTGGAAAAACTAACTTGTTTCTGAAAAGAACTGGCTGTTTCAAACATCAAATATTGCACCAAGCAACAACTAGAGTAGAGCCAACCACAGTGTACGTAAACGGAAGCAACAAACAATAAGTAAACCTTGAAACTTACTCATCAACTCATTGCTTCCGACGTTTGATTCTTTTAACCACCTGCCCGTAAGCTACAGATTCATCTGTATGCGATCCACCCATTACAACGAAATCACGCAACCAACATCCGCTCAATGACTTAGCGTCAAAGAACAAACTTTAAAATACCACTGATTAGAATAGACGAACCCTTCAAAAGGCTGTATAAACAGAGAGCCAGATAAGTTCACATGAACCAACTGTGAAATGAAACCGTTGATTCCAATAAATGGAATTTGAAAGCGGCTCACCTTCAATGGGGTACGTAAAACTAATAAATGGATGACGATCAACCGCAGAAGCAGAGTATCGTAAGCAGGTTGAGACTCCTAAAATCGACTGGCAACTACGATGATGCGATGAGAGCTGAAGGAAACTGATTTAACACTCACACAAGGTGTGAAATCATCTTCACATATGTAAACGTCAAAATTTTATCTATCCGTTAGACCTAATAGTTCTGGATAGGAAGGAGGACTGGCTAAAAACATTAAATAAAACGAAGAAAGGTACGAGAGTAAATATGGCAATAGTCGATACTTGACACTTGAATGGCTCGTCCTCACTGGTTGTGCGGGCCCCAGTACAACCTCCATTTTTTGGAGATTTGCTGATTAAGCCGTTGTGCTACTCTGGAATCCCGAGGAGAGTATGGCCAAAATCTGCCTCAGCTCTTCATCACCACAGGTAACTGTAGATTTTGCGGATCAGAAAGAGATTTGCCACCATGCGACATTTATACCAGGACGGTGGTGGATGCTGGTATTGGTTTACTCTTAGCTAGGTTTCTTGATGGAGAAACCGGACTTCTTCTCAGCTTCGGAGACCCTGCCAGCGGATGAATTTCCGCTGTATATCGCACTCCGACACCCAGGAACACCTCCCAGCTACGCACGGAAAAAGCCTGTCACACTCACAGTCACATGTTAGCGACTCATCTAGGCCACTAAAGAACGGGTGATCATGGAAGTCAGCAAAACCACCCTTGACAAGACCGACCTAAAATCGGCTTTCGCATTGAGCATACATTTATGCCAAACAAACTCCAAACGCCATAACTCTCTAGGACAAATCAACCTTCGCATCAAATCCTTCGCCTCCTCAGCTATTTTCGCGTCAACATACTCATCGTGGAAATCTAGCATATCCTGACGAACAAGGAACTGAAATGATTACCAGTAAAGAAACAATGGTGATAAAGTGAAGTATAAACACAAACATATGCATATCTACTACATTCAAGATGACCATACCTGTATGGGCGAACCTGAGGACTCAGAACCTTTACGTATTTATCAATCAGGTGTCCAGAGTAAAATGGAGTGGTTCCGTACAACATTTCATACCTGGAAGAAAAGTAGATGCTCGCTTCATAATACATAATTTCGACAACAGAGAAAACAAGAATTTTATACTCTCCTATGTACTCATTACCAACTACAAAACGCTTCAAAAATAACGAAAGAAAATGTGAAGAAAAGAAACCGAACATGCGAATTCTTAGGGACCACCAGCCTCAGATCATATTCTATCCCGTAATGTCCCTTTAGTGTTTTCCATAGAATGTTAAATTTCTGATTTAAAACAAAATATAAAAGTATAAGATATGAGCACTGACGACGCATTTGTGGAAGTCATTGTGTTCCAATTGAGGAAATGGCGCTTGCACAATTGCCTGCATTTTTGAAACACAACAAAGAATGTGACAAAAGCGCGATTTCCAGGCCCCATAAAATCAGGATTTCATCTCGGCAGAATCGGAGATATCGCATGTTACTGGAGATGATTTGTAATTTCTAACAGCCGCTATTTCAAATAGTAAAGCTCATCCTGAGTAGAGATGTGATGTTCGAAACTTCAAAGCGCGTCAAATCTGCAATTTTTGAGCGGAAATCAACTCATGTCGAACCCTAATTGATAAACAGTGGCACAAACAGGGTTTGGTGAGCCACAAGCGTAGAATCCAACGAAAAGCTATGTGGGTGATAAAGCACTTTTGTGCTACATAAGCCATGACTGCTAACAGGATTGAAAGACAGCTTAGAATGGAGCAACGTGAGGAAAAGAAATTCACACTTAAAGAGCTTCTTTGTCTCATTGTTCTAAATGTCGAGCTAAGCGATTCGATGTCGGCAGAGTTCCAGCGTAAACACAAAAGCTCACGCTAATTAGATCTAACAAGCTAGGAGACCAGGCGTCTTTCAACCGTCATTCTAAAACATCGAAAACCTTAGTAGTAATAAGATAGAAATAAAGCATACAATAACGTGAAACCGGTAACAAGATATCTTATTAGTTCCTTGAATTTCTAGTGACTTTAACAACATCCGCGATGCGTTTTTCATCCATACAGCACGAACATCAGAATTAGAGGGCAATGAATTCAAAAGGTATGGTCTGTTAGACCTGTTAAGCGACCACTACTGAGAAAAAGAAGCGAAAGGAAAATATTACGGCGATAGCATCACTTGTTAACACAGGCGTGTCAATTTTCTAAGCATGTTCCAAGTACCGACTAACCCATAAAGACTTGCAAACAAGACCACTTAGCATTTAGAACGTTTTCACTAGTATTTCATTCCAAATTATTTATAAAACATCTCTCCAAAACTGTTTACGCTTCGTCTTCTCTGAGGGAGGTCCATGGATGTCGAATTGCGATAAACAGCTGCGGCTTACTGCCAGAAAAATTTTCCAACTGCGGAAATTGCCGTCTCCATCTGGAAGCTCAGATAATAGTAAACCAGTGCTAAAAATCACTGCAACCCTTGCAGCAACGTAGTTACTACCTGGCAAAGAGTGGGACCTTGGGAGGACTCTAGAACGGCTATCGAAACCACAGAAAATAATCTTATCCATCCAGAGAATAAGCATCAAAATTAAGCCTGCACTGGCATTCCAACTGATTGGTGAAGACGGACCTATTATTGACCATTGATTAATACTAGGGTTAGATGCTTATCGTACTGATTACGATTGTGGCTATGATTAGGATCATTACCGCAGTGACGAAAAAAGTCTAAAATTTAGGAGTGAAAAAGAGTAAGCAAGGAAGCAAAATTAAATGCCGTAGAAATTAGACAAGAAGATTGTTATTAAATTAAACGACACAAACAGAAAGAGGTTCTGTAGGAACTAGACCAAACCGAAGCACACAGGGCACACCGTTTAATGCGAACCACCACTTAATACTTCGCAAAAATTATAACTTGACTATCATTCCTGCCGCTAGCCTCCGAACAATTATCTGCATATTCAACTACTGGCTGTTTTGGACTAAAACACACAATAAATTCTGGAATGTTCCTGCAGCGACGTCATGGAGACCTCCTTCTTCAGGGCTCTTGCTGTTTGTCTAAATTGCCACAACTCAGATTTCCACAACAAAAGTAATTTCCACCTGAGATCATTGCGAAGAAACAAACTCTATCGCTCTTGTGAATCGAATGGCACCGATTAGAGTTTTTAAACTTTGAAGAGATTAGGCAACACGAAACGACGGAAAGATTATGAGACGATTTTTTCAACGATAAGCGAGTCCTGTAGCTGTAACTTGCAAGCGAAAACACGCGTGTAGGACTTTTATGAAAAGAACCCTCCCAATGGTTTACCGCCTCATTGTGGCTGTGAGGTGCTCTTGGTGGGTGTCAGATGCGACGTACTGCGGGAGGAATCATCCCTCTGGCAAGGTTTCCCAAGCTGAGAAGGAGTTCGGTGCTTCCACCATGAAGCTTAACTGAGAGTAAACCAATACCTGGATTCACCACCGCCCTGGTATCGAACTAGTCGCATGGTGGCAAATCACCATCTCATCCATAAGGGCGGCGACTGCCCGTGGTGGCAACTAGCTAGGGCAGATTTTGATCTGGCTAACCTCGGGACTCCAAAAAGCCACAATAGCTATGCCAGCAAAACTCCGAAAATGCAGATGATGCTGGTGCCCACACTGCTAGTCAAGACGGGCCGTCCAAGCATCAAATTTATGAAGACAAAACCCTCATCCAAAAGTAGAAATACTTTCCAAAAAAATTTTTTACAGGCACGAACTTACAAGTGATATCTAACACATTTTTCAATGAAACTTTAGCTCTCATAAATTAGGTCGAACATTTCTAAGCGTACCTTTGCCATTGAACCGAGCCGCGAAAACAGCGCGTCGTAGTCACTCACGGGTTCCTCGTTGTTGAAGTTCAGTCGGCTTGAAGAATAACAATCACAGCCATGATCTGAAGTCGTTTCAGTAAGGATTAAATCCTTAAGAACAGGTATTACGTTTGCAGATTTACTCACCGGTTGCTATGATTATTGTTACAAAGGTATAAAATGTAGACGGTGAAAGAGTGAAAGTGATGTAACACCGTGTTAAGAAAGGAATATGCCTAAAATGTTGAAAAATCGAAGATAGTTCTAAACGAGTGAGAAAGAGGGGCGACTGGACAAGCGGGGATCGCTGGCGAAGAAGTCAGTTAGAGAGACGGCAAGCAGAGAGACGGAACCGAGCGGGGTAGGCTGCCGCTCAATCGTCGCCTTTTGTAGCCGAGAGCCCACCGATCACCTTTGATTTTTCATGATGATCGGTGTCGAGGACATCCATCCAATTCTAGCGAACAGCAATAGAACTTAGCTTCATCGTCTTTTAAATGTCTCACGAGTTTCATTCCTGAGTTTTAAGTTGTTCCTTACGACTTACGATGTTCGTAATGAGTTCGTCTAATTAGAAATCAATCAGAACACAAATTATGTTACTGTTTTAGGAAAAATCCAGTCAATATCTTGTTTCTTGGTGGAAAAAAAATATGCTGAAATAGTTAGTTGACCGTCTGTCCAGAGCCCCATCAGAAAGATTGTCGCAATCGTATACTTTCCTTGGAGTCTTTTAAACACTTTGAGGAGAAAGACGTTGATCTAGTGAATGGTCCAGAACGAATGTCCGATATTAATCAGCATGGCGAAGGTGATCGGTCCCAGGTGGGAAAACGACAGTTGAAAGAGGAGCGCGCTAGGTTCCGCAAAAATTATGTGACAGTGTCGTCTTCATAGACGAGCTCATTACGAGCGTTTGAGGACGTCATCGATCACATTTGCGTGTGAGCAGTTCGGATATTGCCGCTGCGCTACACATCATCCTGGGATCCAATCGAAGGTGTTTCCAAACTTGAGGAATGCGTTTTGGTGTATTCGAGACAAATTAAACCTTAAATGCGACGAAAACATTGAATTCCTGATCTCAGTAAAGCCGTCGAACCATAATTCGTTGGAAATAAAGAAATTTGTTGGAAAATTCGAACCGAACCGTAAGAACAAGAGTCGTAATAGTTGACAGGACACATATAATTTTCTCTGTTAGCTCATAACAAAGAGAAGTTCTCTGGTGAAATTCTTTGTAACCCTTATTATTCGAAATTATGACTG